TTCAAGAAGAAAGCCAATAAAGAGCTGGAGGAGAAGAACAGGTGACGTTTTCATTACATCTCATTTGCCGTCATTAAATCCTGACATATTTGACTATAATTTTGGCAAACTGGACACCTTACTCTCTCTGTATTGGTTTTAGCTGACCTCCAGCTGATGTTTTGTGTTCCAGGATGTTGCAGGAAGACCCCGTTCTCTTCCAGCTCTATAAGGACTTAGTGGTGAGTCAGGTGATCAGCGCTGAGGAGTTCTGGGCCAATCGGCTGAGCCTGAATACTGTGGAACACTCCCTCTCCAACAACAACAAACAGGAAGTGGGCATTTCTGCTGCCTTCCTGGTGAGTTCAAATGCATCACGTGACTGACAGTTTGACGAGAGCACTTAGAGTGTAAATTCACACCATGATTGTGTTGTCACTGTGGTTACAGGCCGACATCAGACCGCAGACAGATGGCTGCAACGGCCTGCGCTACAATCTGACCTCTGACATCATCGAGTCGATCTTCAGGACCTACCCTACAGGTAAGATATGTGATTATGATCTCACAGCTTATGATCTTAGGCAGCTTCCTTCTAAGGCGACATCCTAATTGATAGGGATCGTCATAAGTGACTGATTTAGTAGAATCTACATAGGCAGCAACTCACTTATAAAGTACTGGACTCGCGATTGTTCATGATATGTTTTGCCACTAAGATAAGAGTGTAATGCTGTAATAAACATAAAAATACATAATGCTTGTTATTGATACCTTTCTGTATTAAATGAATGACTAGTCACCCTTAATCAACCATCTTTGATGAAGTTTCATCATTGAGCTTCGTGCTTAGGTAAATCATAACTGAGATAAATTCATAAATATGACATAACCATTATATAGGTTTTGTCTTATGCATATTTTTTCTTAACTTTGACATGATTACTTACTTTCTATCTCATGATGACTTTTTCTCATAATTTAGCCTTTGTTATAACTCTGTCTGTCATAATGATGACTTTTTGTATCATAAGACCCTTTCGCACCGCTTTAGTTCCAGAACTAAATATACGGTACTAAAGTACTGGGACGATTTTGCGCGAACTATTTCCCAGTACCATTTAAAGGGTTGCATTCGCACCGAGAGTGTGTACTAGAAAGTGACGTAAGCCGGTCGACAGCGTCGTCATTTGTGTGCGGCGTTCAACAACAGAAACAAAGAAGAACAACGTTAACAACAGGAGGATGGAGGACGCTGTGATCGGAGCTGTGTTTTTGTTGTGTCTCGCTGGTTTCACAATAATAAACATGGAAAGTCGACGTATACGTAAAGCGATTGAAGGAACGGAAAGGAGGACTAAGAATCTCCAACAACACCTGGCAGTGCTACATTTGCTACAAGTGCCTGCACTTCAGTGTCCGTCCATCTATCGCTGTTCTCCATACTTGCGAAATAAGTTGACACAATGTTTACAGTATGTTTACACAGTGTTTTATATCATGGCGGGTGAGGGCGTTGTCATACGCGTTTGGCCAATCAATGTCTACTTGCGTCACGATTAGTACCAGTTGTGCTGGTTAGACCCTGCTCCGGAGTAGGAGCTAATTTGGTTCTCGAAAAAGGCAGTCCGATGCTAAAATCGCTCCCAGTTCCGGTGGTGCGAAAACGGCAAAAAGTGGGTAGTTCCACAATTAGTTCTGGTACTATGAAAAGGTTCTTGCGGTGCGAAAGGCCCTATAATTTTGACTTTAATTCTTAAATTTGACTTTTTTTGTCTCATAATTGTTTTTATTTCCGTATTTTGACTTTTTATCTCAATTTCAACCTTAATCGCAAAATTTTTTTCATAATTTCAACTTTTGTTTTAATTATGATTTTTATCTCATAATTGCGACTTTATCTTATAATTTCATTTTATGCCGTAATGATTTTTAACCCATAATTTTGACATTTAATCTTTCAGTTTAATTTTTTTAACTCATAATTGGTTTTATTTCATAATTTGGACTTTTGTGTCATAATGATAATTTAGATTTTTTTTTAAATCTCATAATTTAGACTTTTATGCCATCATTTAGATTTTTTATCTCATAATTATGATATGATAATTTCTATGGTACTTTATAAATGAATGTGACTTTTATGTAATAACTATGACTTTGTACGTAGGGTTGCAAAAAGGTGGAAATTTACCGAAAATTTTCCACCCCTTTGCAACCCTATTTGTACGTAATAATTATGGTTATAATTCTGGTATTGCCTTCTCCTTGACGAATACATGTAATGCTGTTAGAATTTGACCAAAAGATGGTCAAATCAATCATAACAAAGGTAATTTACATATAGTAGTCTTAAAGGAATAGTAGCCTATTTTAAATCACAAAAAATGGTTTTAGTTCACAAAAAATCTAATATGCTTTGTGCTACAAACACTGACTAATATTATAAGCAATCTTTAAGGACAGATAAAATGCTATAAGTATTGAATATGACCCTTTTCTGTCTCTCTCTGCTTTTGATTGCAGTCAAGCAGAAATATGCTGAGAATGTTCCTCACAACATGACGGAGAAGGAGTTCTGGACGCGGTTCTTTCAGTCTCATTACTTCCACAGAGACCGGATCAGCACGGGCCAGCAGGACATCTTCTCAGAGTGTGCCAAACAGGACGAGAAGGGTACTGCATTTCATGAAGTGTTTAAGTCTTAATGCAGTATTCTGAGATCTTATGAAGTCCGAAGGAATCTTTCATGGACTATTGACTTCATCTGACCGTGTTAAATGACTCTTCTGTGTCTTTCTATTCTGATGGAGTTTGTTTCTTCGCATCTTTCAGGCCTGAAATCAATGGTGACCCAGGGAGTGAAGAACCCCATGGTGGATCTGCTTTCACTCGAGGATAAATCATTAGATGAGGTGAGGGATGTTAAACTTTGAATCAGACTTCCTCTGCGTATTGCATCATTTGGTGAAATTGGATCTCTTTGTGTCTCTGAAGGGTTACGGCACAGCAACAGTTCCCACTACATCAAACTCATCCAACAAATCACTGAGAGAGAACAGCAACTCTGCCATAATCAAACGCTTCAACCACCACAGTGCCATGGTGCTGGCGGCCGGCCTACGCAAAGCGTAAGTGTCTGGACATCGGAGTGTGGGTGTTAGTGTGGATGTGTCACAGATATATGACCACAAAACCAGTCATAAGGGTCAATTTTTTAAAATTGAGATT